CATGTAGTGGTGCTTGTTACCCTCTTGTTCCATGTAGTTACAGGGTAAGTACAATAAAAATGCATACACAATCTTCTATCACTGACTCGGAAACCTTTATTTATTATACAAGCACCACTTACCCTGTAACCACATGAAACCAGATATATTTCCCAGTATTTAAAAAAAAAAAATGCAGTAGTCTTAGCTTTTCTTGCCTTGAAACATGTTAGTCCAAACTTAAACATCTGCACTTTTGCTATAAAAAAATAAAAAAATAAAAGTATAAATGCATAGATATGTACCCTGTCATTTTTAAAAAGCCTATACAGTATGTATTGCCTTGGTACACAATTATTACAAAAAGGTATGCAGTGTATGTTCTCGCTAAATTGCTCACAAATGTTGTATCATATAGTACAGTGTTTCTCAACCTCTCCTGCAGGGACCCCCTGACAGGCCATGTTTCTGTTTTAACCCTGAAATGGCACACCTGATTCAAGTCATTAAAGGCTTAATGAGTAGTTGACTAATTGATTAATTGAACTATTCCTACTCTAATTACTCATTAAGCCTTTAATTACTTGAATCAGGTGTGCCATTTCAGAGTTAAAACAAAAACATGGCCTGTCAGGGGGTCCCTGCAGGAGAGGTTGAGAAACACTGATATAGTAGAATAAGTTCCCCTTAGTTCTATAATACTTACAGTATAAATATTTTTTTAATTCTCCTGGTTGTTACCCCTTTATTCCCCAAACTTTACATAGTGTTCCCTTATACTTACATGCAAGTTATAGGTTCACTATAATTACCAAAAGTTACTCTGTAAATTCCTCTTAATTACACAGTACTTTCCGGGCTGTAATCTAAAGCGTTACCTTTTTTTTATCTCAAAGTGTGTTTAATGATTCAGTGCTTCTGTGTGCATTTGATAGCAACGTCTGGTGACTTACAGGAGAACAATAGAAGCGATCAAACTAACAGGGCAACAATATGCAAGTGCTGTGACTGACAAGTAGCAAGGTTTTTTTATTAAATAAAAAGATTGAATAGAAGTATAGAATAGTACGTGATAGTATTAACGGGTCAAGTGTTGACGAAAAAGATCAAACACTTACGAAAACACTTTTGTTTCTTGAGAATACCTGCTCGGGTTGAGTTAGACATGCAGGTCATTCCACCAGCATGGAACAGTCAAGGTAAAGTCCAATAAAGGTTTATTTTGTGCTTTTTTGGGATGGCACCACAAGGTGCATTGCTGAACCCAAGCTTCAGGAGGGAACAGAAATATTACACAAAATGTTTGTGTGAAAGAGGCTATAATAGAAATAGTGTTTGCTTCTCCATAACCATGTGCTTTATGTCATGTTGTTGGCGTTTGTGTGAACACTGATCATCCTTGACTTTGACTCTTTTTATGCACATATTCTCTCTGAGGGTTGTGTGTGTGTGTGTGGCTGGCAGCCCATATTCAATCTCTGATCAGCTCAGTGAGAGAGTGATTTGAAATGCTATTGACTGAGTGCAGTGTTCCTGCAGCTGGCTCATGAGGGATGCCACAGTCATCAGAGAGATGGGCCTTTCAATATCATCTGAAGGACAGAAAACTGCTGTCTGTCTCTCTATCTCACACACACACACACACACACACACACACACACACACACACACACACACACACACACACACACACACACACACACACACACACACACACACACACACACACACACACACACACACACACACACACACACACACACACACACACACACACACACACCAAAGCTGGCTGCTGACAAGCCAAATAAGAAAATTTAGATGACAGGAAATCAATGAAAGCCAAATTAGGATTTGTGAATATACCAGATGGAAACACTAAAAGGATTCATTCATGGCAGTGTTCCAGGGTTGGCTCAGTCATATAGTCCAGGTGATATATGAAAATGATGTTAAAGGATGCACTGCAGTCAAGTCACCTTAATTTATATAACACTTTTTACAATATACATTGATTCAAAGCAGCTTTACAGTAATAATAGGAAATTCATTCTACAAAGATTGTAGCTAAAAACAGATAAAAGCTAATTCTTTTGTTTCATCTGACTATCACTTTCAATTCGTTTACTTCAATAAAAGGTTAGATTTGTGCACTTTTTAAAAATAAAATATCAAAAGGATAAACAATGCAGATTTATTTTTTACAGCCATATTTGATCATATTTACCAAGGGGGCAAATAATTCTGACCAGCACTATATATATATACAGTATATATATATATATATATAGGCCTATATATAATAACATATTACAGGAGAGCAAAATATAGGGTACAGGTGCAGAGACCAACTCAATGCAGTTGTCTAAATATACGATACCATATATTACATAATGCAGTACAAGGTGCAACTGTAAAGTATAAACACAGAAAGTGCATTATTGAGAATATTGAGGTAGGCATGTTTATGTAAATGGCCAGTGACCACATCAGTACAAAATGGTATCATGAGGTAGAATGTTAAAAAGGAAAGTGCAAAAGTAAGAGGCATAGTATGGAAGCATGTTAATGTACAGCACAACTTTTCCCTTTTTTATTTATAAGGAGGTTCAGGATGTAGTGTTCATCATTTTAATTCAGGGTTCAGTTTGACCATAGAAACTGTTCCTGAGTCATGCTGGTGCGACAGCGGAAGCTCCTATAACGTCTCCCAGATGGAAGAAGAGTAAACAAACAGCCCATGGCTGGGATGAGAGGTGCCTTTAATAATGCTTCTCACCCTTCATTAGGTATTGTATATCTTTGATCGAGGGTAGTTGAGCACCAATGATGGTTTGGGCATTATTCACCACCCGTTGGAGGGCATTCTGGTCTGAGACAGTGCAGTTGCCACATTGTGATGCAGTTTGTTAGGATGATTTCAATTATGCATCTGTAGAAGGTCACTGTAAAAAAAATTGTAACTTCCCAACTCAAAATTTTCTAGTGACTGGTCACATCTAATTTTTTTCAATTGGCCCAAGTGAAATTCTGCTAATTTAATTTAATCAATTTGCAGAATTTAACTTGGGCCAATTGAAAAATTTAGATGTGACCAGTCACTAGAAAAATTTGAGTTGGGACTGGGAGGTTAGAAATCTTTTACCGTGTAAGCAGTTGTGGGTGAAACTAAAATAATAATTTTTTTTAAATAATCAAATATAGAATGCAAATATACTGGCATGCTTTTTTGAGTGCAGAAATTTCATTAGGCTATAGTAGGCCTATGTATGTAATCCAAATGGATGGAATTTGTTGTTGTTGTTAGCCAAGTAAGCTACATAAATCCTACATTTATGCAGTTTTTCAGTGTAACTACAAACCATTTTCATTACTGAGCTCTTAATTAACCCCGTTTCTGGTGAATTTCTGGTTTTAGCGTTAACGTTTATAAAATAATGAAATCACACTAATCGTGCATTCAAACTCTATATGTATTTCGGAAATAATTTTTTATTTATTTCTATGCAGATGAGAATCAAAATCTAACATTATTTGAGAAATTACTCAGTAAAAATCGAAATGCGCTGCGTAAGAATATTTACATCTTTAGAGCCACCTTTTACAGCGATGTCAGCTTTAAGTTTTTAGGAAATATATGTAGGCCTATCTAAGTTTTGCTTACTGTTGGTTGATATCAGCCCATTCCTTCAGTCTGGTTTGCTCAACAGTTGTTAAATAGATTTTAATTTTGACTGGCATCAGAGCTGTCTTATGTTATTAAGCCACCTAGTGTTAATTTAAATTACAAACAAATTCCCAAAAATTGATGTCTTACCATAAAGTTAAAAATGGAATTCTTCTGTACATTTGATCTTTGTTGTTGAGCACCCTCTGGTGTCCAAAGATAATACCAAGCACAGCACATTCTAAAATTTGCATAAATCGTAGATTTATATTTTAACATTACACACTCTTACAAATAAATAAATACATTTCAGTGGGCTAGGGTTCTTGACTCAATTTTAAAGAATCATTTTTGCCAATATGAGAAATGTCTTATATGGCTGCATAAAACTTTCAGGTTTAACAAGGCTTTTTTTCCAGTGAAAAAAAAAAGTTATGAGATTTTTAATTCATACATTTTGTATAAAATACTCATTCTCAGTTCTGAAAATGCTAAAAGGACAGACACTTGGCAATGATGAAAAATAGTATAAGAGTGAGTTGAAAAAGGAGCAGCAGGTGGATTTCAGGAAGAGCACCAAATTACATACAGTAGAACCAAAAGCCGCCCATGTTGACCATGAAAAGATCAATTCATTCATTGTAAGGTGCATACCGCGGCGCGTACTGTTGCAATTTGCCATGTCGCACCACGTTATCGGCCAGGTAGCCGATATTCTCCCAAATACTATCGATAGTATTCCCAAACACACAAATGAACTAGAGGAAATGAATAGCAGTATTTGCACCATTTGGAACAACAGCTAGGCTAATTTTTTTTCTATTTGCTTCTCTGTTTTATCTTGGGATGCCCATCCTGAGGAGAGTATGTCAGCTCCAGTTTGGATCCAGCCTATAATGAAGACTTCAGCCCAACACCTACGAAGAGACGGCGCCAACTCCTGCGATGACTTCAGATGACGCAAACTCTGAACCAACATGCACCAATGCAAAATTTTTCTGAATGTCATAATCATTTATTAACAAACAAGTATTTATTAATTCAATGAGCTCACTGTTTCTGCATTAGATTATTACATTGTTTAAATTAATACATTTTTAGCTAACTTTGATTTTTGTACATGTACATTTCTGAAATGCATAACTTAGACAGTTACCTCTGATAACAGATCACTCTAAATTGTAATATGGACTCATGCACCTTCTGTAAAGCTGGTTTGCAATGATGTGTATTGTAAAAAAAGTGCTTTACAAATAAATGTGAATTGAATTAATTCAGTATTACAATATGTTCTCAATTTCTGAGAATTTTATTTTCAAAAAAGAACAGAGCATATTTTAAAAAGGTTTAAAAAAAATAAATAGCTTTAACCGAAAAGTACTTCATGTGCAAAATCTTGGCGCAAAACGTATCAATATCCAGTCAGGTTCCACACAAAAGATCTGCATATGTAGTGAGTAACTGTGAAAAGACGTGCATATTAAGTATTAAGTCCATTCTCAGAGCAAAGAATCAGGTGGAGTCGTCGTGTCGATGTCTCAGCTCTGGGCCAGCTCTAGTTTGTTGTCTGACGTTTTTGGTGCTTCAATTACTTCTTCACACATGAACTGCTCCTACAACATTAATAACAACATTATTGTTATTTATAACAACAAAAAAAGAAATGTTATTCAAACTCAAATTAAAATAAATTATGGAATATTGCAGTATTTTTTATAAATGATTTAAGCGTGCACACATCATTATTGTTATTTAAATTCATGCGCCCTCTTAAAGGGTTAGTTCACCCAAAAATGAAAATTCTGTCAGTAATTACTCACCCTCATGTTGTTCCAACCCCGTAAGACTTTCGTTCATCTTCGGAACACAAGTTAAGATATTTTTGATTAAATCTGAGAGCTGGATCACTCCTCCATAGGCTTCTTAAGGGATCGAAACTGACCGGCCCAAAAGTTATGAAAGACATCGTTAAAATAGTCCGAGTGACTACAGTGGCTCAATCTTAAGTTTATCAAGCGACGAGAATACTTTTTGTGCGCAAAAAAAATGAACAAAAATAACGACTTTATTCAACTAATCATTTCCTTCTCTGTGGGCCGTGATATTTCACGTGGTAATATTGCGCAAAGCTTCTAGGTTGCACGTCACACGTAGGCTCACTATTGGCCGACGCTGGTCATGTGTGTGATGAGTGACGTACAACCTAGAAGCTTTGCGCAATATCACTACGTGAAATATCACGGCCCACAGAGAAGGAAATGATTAGTTGAATAAAGTCGTTGTTTTTGTTCGTTTTTTTTGCGCACAAAAAGTACTCTCGTCGCTTGATAAACTTAAGATTGAGCCACTGTAGTCACTTGGACTATTTTGACTATTTTACACCCTCCATTGACAGTTCCTCAACTCCCATTTTGACACTTCAAAAAGTTCATAAAGAGGTCACAAAACTAATCCATTTGAATTGAGCGGTTTATTAAGAGACACAGTCGCTTTATATGAATTTAGTCAAATACTTGTATTCACATATAAACATTCATCAACTCGCACATCAGTTATGATAAACAGAAGCTCAAGCATATTCGCTTGCCAGGAGATAATTAATGAGGTTCATTCTCATGCGTTACGCAGCCCGTTTGAGCTTCCGCAAGAACCAATGAGGTTTGTTCACCAAAGCAGGTTCGGTTGAGCTTCTTTTCATGTTCGCTGATTAATCTTTAAACGTGAATAAAAGCCTCAATGCATTCTGTTCATCAAATAAAGTGATTGAGTCTCTACAGAAAATTTTGGACTAAATTAATCAACTCATGTGTATTAGTTTTATGATCTCTTTATGAACTTTTTGAAGCATCAAAGTGGTAGTTGTGTAGCCGTCTACAGAGGGATAGAAAGCACTCAGATTTCATCTGAAATATCTTCAGTTGTGTTCCGAAGATTAACCAAAATCATGCTGGTTTGGAACGAGGATGAGTAACGTTAAGAAATTTCATTTTGGGTGAACTATCCTTTTAAACACGTCATCACCCCCTCCAACCAAACTATCTATCTATTATTTATAGTGCAGAACAACAAATCAATGACCAAGCCAAGTTGGCTATACACAAATATCAGAACATATAAACATCTTACCTTATCATAGACTACTTTTACTATTAGTGAGCAGCTCGGACAGGTGGCCACTTCTTCACCATTCTCAAGATCCTCCTGAAAAACAGAAGTTTTATCTTAACAAAACAGTAGGTATTTTTCAGTTCACCTATATTTGCCACTAGTTAAACTCTCACACTCTTGAGTTTTGGTTAATCGTTAATGGTCTTTTGGTTAATGTCTCGGAGTTCTTCAAGTTTAATCCATGAGCCAATACTTTATCCGCTAACATAACAGGGAACAACGATTACAGATTCAAATACAATTCTTTATATAAATAATATACAAATGTACACACATATATCCGTGTGAAAAAAAATATATATTATGGAAATGATTAGTCAAGTAACAGTTAATGACTGTATTCTGCTAGAACAACTTGCCTTCGTTATCGCGAATCTGTCACCACATGGACAAGGGAAATAATATGTTTCTGTTTCTTCATCATACTCAAAATCTTCTATCTCAACCTCGTCGTGAAACACCGTCATTTTAATTAAATGACTGGTTAAAAACCCTCGCCAGTCGCCGGTGCTGATCAGGTGCTGATTCAACATGCAGCCGCTGTGACATAAGCATGGACTTAAGTGGCGCACAAATTTGACGTAGCCAGCAGCGAATTTACCATTAACAGCTGTTCATAATTTAGCCACCAGGAGGAGACAAATTTCTATCCAACCGATGCTGCACAAGTCTGAGTACAGTATAGATTTCTGTATTACAGCTGACAAAGACTGGGGGTTTCAGTATGCAGTGTGATATTTACCCTGCAATCGATGGTATCCAGTCATGTGTGCATGCAGACCTACCTAACTTTCCCAGCGCAAGATTTGCTTCCATTTAAGTCACTGAGTTAGAGATTATGTTGAAATAGCTACCACAGTTAGTATTTTCTACAGTGTAGAGTAGCCTACTGCGCAATAATACTTGCACATTCAATCTGCATTTGTGCTACAAATGAACTTTAAGTAATATCAGACACAGTCTTTTAACACCTTTTTGTGTATTATTAACATTATGTATTATCTTAAAATGCCTATCAGTAAGAGGTAGGCTACTGAAGCTAGTAGGCCTATTTATCTGAATATATCCTTTCACACTTGAATCACATGACATGTACGTAGGCCTACCCAACACAAGACTAAAGGACTAGACGGCATTTTTGGCATCAAACACTTACATACTTGGCAAAAGGTTTTCACTTCTCCCATGTAAAAAAAAAAAAAAAAAAAATCATCCCAAATTTTTTGTGAAAATTCAATGTTGTAATTTTGGGAAAGAATTTAGTATTGTACTCGATTTTGTTATTTTCAAGTTGAGTGAGTCAACATGGCGCACCGAGTTAAGTCTCAGAGACAAGCATTCATTCTTGCAATGCAAATGGGATTAATTGGTCAAATAGATTTGGGCTATTTGAGGAGGTTTCATGAGGCCCCAGGCAAAAATTACCGTGCCATGAAAAGTATTTGATATTAAATCTCCAATGCATGTTATATTAAGCAAAAGGCAATATTGCATAAGGGAACCTTAGTAATGACACAATGCCGCATTTTTTTGGTTTTATTTTCTTCTTTCAGTGCAAAATCTGCAAATCATTAACAGTGGCTCATATCACCCCTGTGAACAAGTAAATGCCCCCCTTAAACCAGTTGGACAGCAGCAACTGAACACTACCTGTAATTTAAAGTGTGCTTTGCTGTTTCTGAAGTAATTTTTGTCCTTTTTTTTTTTTGCAGAGATTGTGATGAATCTGAACTGCCATTTCATAATCTTGGTTCCTTGTCTTCAGGCCTATAGGCCACTAAAAAAAGTGTTACTTTTAAGCCATTCAGATGTGGAATTCCTTCTGTGTTTTGATCACTGTTCTGCTTCATCACCCAAATACAGCTCCTGTACTGATGAAAGGCATTCTCTGGTATATTATCAGAATTCATGCTTCCATTAATAATAACAAGTCGCCATGTTCCAAAAGTAAAGCAAACATCCCTAAAATCACTGTTCTTCATTGTACTACACTGTAAGACTTTTGTTGTAAATACAGACTTTATGATTTCATTCTCTTATATTGTTGATTGTCTATTGCTTGTTTATTTTGCTTTTATTTCTTTTCTTGTTCCCTTTTTATTCATAGTGGTTCTTTTATTCATTGTATGGCACTTTGGCCAACCTCGGTTGTGTTTAAATGTGCTCTACAAACTAATTGGTTGATTGATTTATTTTTTATTCACAGCATTATAATTTGTTCCAGTTTACTTCAGCATTTTACTATTTAACTTATACAAAACACACTGGATCATCTATTCTGATGCAACAAGAAGAGACACAGATCCTCGAAAGACTGTAAGTGCTTAATAAGTCACAGAGCTTATGTGCGCACACAAACACAGAGGAATGTTGTTTAAGGTGGAAAGACAAAGACCCTTGGATGGAGTAATTGTATAATGGGTGTCAGCAGGGATTTGTTTGGGAATTAAGACATGAGTGAACTGCAGAAGCTAGATGTATTTAAATGCTATTACCTACAAAAGCAATCCTTGAGTATCATATTTTAAAATTAGAAACACTTATAATATGCACAAGTAAAAAACACAAGATGTCTTTGTACATCAACTTAGCAAAGATCGAGCAAGTCATGGGCACAGATGCAAATGTAGAGGATCATTTGGGGTCACTTAAATTTTAATTCTGAATTTGTTTGAGCAAAATTGGTTAATGCTTCGGCTAATACCCTTAACACAACAACAGAGTTTCAGTTCAAATAAAGGTTTTCCGTTATCAACCTTTCAGTCAACAAGCCTTATTACATTTTAAAAAAGTGTTTTGCTCATGTTGTTTTGACCTTTTCATATTTTAGTAAAGAAGTCAACTAAACTAAGTTTCCAGTCATGTGCCCTTGTTAATAATTAAGCCACAGTCTTAAGTTAGCAGTTGTTTTTAAGTAATCCATAATGTTTCTCTTAAAGTCAGTATGGAAGTCCATCCCCAAATAATTCAATAATGTAATTTCATTAGTAAGTTAACATCTTTGGGGTAAACATATGGTATTTTAAATGAAGGGACAGAACGTTTGCTTCCTAATTACATCCATGGGTAAGAAGATCTCGGGTCAGTGAATATCAAGCACACACTGTAAAAAAAACCCCGTTGTTTTTACGGAAAAAAAACTGTCAGCTGTGGTTACCAGAACTTTACCGTCAACAATACGGTATCAATGTTTTTGGTTTACAGACTTAACTTAAAATTTACAAACTGTAATTCATTATCTGATATAATGATAATTTACCAACCTATTGAAGTAAAAATATCTGTTTTGTACCATTGTAATACATTGACAACCAACAATCATCACAGCAGTGATGAGAGTCACATGATAAATCAAAGCTCATCACAAGCAATCTTCCACAAGATAGTTAGTACTATTATATTGAAGCTGCACAGTGTTATTCGCACAAACATTAAACACCATCATGGTAACACATGAAATTTTAAAAATGCAATAAACATTAATTTAACAACATTACATAAAACCCTAATGTACATAACTGATTAGAAAAGAACTAAGAAAACTAAGAAGAAACATTGTTATTTCAACAAAAATAAATCAAATGCGAAGTGTCATGCAGGGAATTGTGGGAATGTCAATTTACGGTTTTTCACTGTAAATTATACAATGAGTTGTTCTTTTCACTTTCAAAAACTGTAAATTTAACGGTATTTTACAGTAAAATTAAATTAAATGTACCGTTAGATCTATCACAGTTATTTACCGTATGTAGTAAGGAAACTTTCTGTTAACCAATTAACAGTTTTGCACTGTAGCATTTTTACAGTCTTTTACCGTTAAAATCACGATAATTTTTTACAGTGCATGCAACATAGATGGAAATTTGGATTTATTCACAAGTGTCTTCTTATGAGAGAGTCTTACAAACATTTTGATGCCAAGGACCCAAAAATATCATGATCCTTGTGAGGGACCCCCTTCCTAAAATATAAGCAGCTAGATATGTTCATTAAGATGGCACTGTTCTGAAATTAAATAATTGGCTTTTGTATTGTCATTATGCTTAAGCCAAAAGCAAATTGATAACATTATATTTTATATCTCATTATGTTATTCATTCTCAGTCTTATTAAATATGTTTCAGAATTAGAGTAATGTATAAAGCTTCAAGCACCCTCATTCCCCGGGGTTCCTGTTTTAAAACTCTTCATGTAGATTTATACTCTATGACAATGAAATGACATAAATGAAGTAACATTCATTAAACACATTAGTTTGTAAGAATGCATATGCCAGGAAAATAAATCCAAATATGAGATGGGGATTGAAAACGTACTCGGTTACCTAACGTAACCTCGGTTCTCTCTAGAGAGGGAACGAGTATTGCGTAAGTTTAGCTTACACTACGGGTAAAGTTCATCTTTGCTCGAGATACTAAAGCCAAAATTATCCTTAATTTTGTATTGTCAACGCAGCGCAGCAGCTGCAGACCTAGAGCAGGCTGCCTAGCATGCTCATTGGCTGCCTTGCGGCAACTGCAGCAGCCTACCAGTGAGCCTGGCGTGACGTCACGCCCAATGGTGGCGCTTCGCGCCCACTACGCGTCACAGCCCACGCAAAGGGGTGTGGCTTAGCGTATAAAAGTGGGCCTCAGAGGCTGCTTCCCTGGTTTTCATGATCTGAAGCGAAAATCGCTCGTGGCGCTTAGCACGGCCGGTTACGCAGTACTCGTTCCCTCTCTAGAGAGAACCGAGGTTACGTTAGGTAACCGAGTACGTTCTCTTACGAGAGGTTCTCTCGTATTGCGTAAGTTTAGCTTACGCTACGGGAACACTTTGTCAACGCCGTGCGCGCCCAGCATCCCCTCTATGAGTCCCAAAAGGCAGCAGAAATCGCGTCCACTATCCATCTGGATAGGGACTGTTTCGAGGCGGCGAGACCTTTGGTGCGGCAGCCAAACGAAACGAAAAGCTGCTCGGAGCGTCTGAAAGGGGCTGAGCGCGTAACGTAAGTTCTCAGTGCCCTGACAGGGCATAGGAGGCTGTCGCTGCCCACGCTGTCGGATGCTGGCAGAGCCGACAGAGAAATGACCTGCGCTCTGAAGGGAGTACCAATCACCTTCGGGACATAACCATGTCTCGGTTTGAGGATGACTTTAGAGTCATTCGGGCCAAACTCAAGGCACGCTGCGCTAACAGGTAGCGTGTGTAAGTCCCCCACACGTTTAACTGATGACAGAGCCAAAAGAAAAACGGTTTTGAGCGAGAGGTATTTTAGATTCGTTGAATCTAATGGTTCGAAGGGATGCATCTTTAAGGCCTCTAGGACCACGGAGAGATCCCAAATAGGAACCGAAGGTGGGCGCGGAGGGTTTATCCTTCTGGCTCCTCTCAAGAAGCGGATGACCAGCTCATTCCTTCCTAGCGACCGGCCTTGCTTCGACTCAGCGAAGGCTGCGACGGCCGCCACGTAAACTTTGAGCGTGGATGGGGACCTGCCCTTATCCAGCAGCTCTTGAAGGAAACTGAGCACCTGCGAAACCTCACCTGTTCT